CACCCCTTCGGAAGGCTGTGTACGGAGGGCCCAAAGTCCATACGTACGGCCCGTACCGGGGCCCGGGGCCCGTATGTACGGTCGTATGGGAGTATGTACGGCCCGTATTCGTACGGCCGTATACACTGTTGGTTATTGTGAAAATAAGCTCAGGAGAAACAACTAATTTGCATGAAGAACTTGGCCAATGCGTACTTCCTTAGGCGGCCGGCGCGTGAGAGTGCCCTCTCATGCAAGGTCATCAAAGATCGAATAGTTTTACTGGAGATGACACTCATCTGACTTCCCTTGCTTTTGTTGGACTTATTGCCGTGGGACGCTGCAACCTGATGGCGACTAAAGTAACTGACGAAACATTGAGAAGGGCAGGGACGGCGAACTGACAGGAGAGACGTACCTTCCAGAACAGTACCAATTACGATGTTCCCATTATCAAGCTCTGGGGCAGGTCCTGGCCCTGCAGAGATGTTCGGATTCAACAGCAAAAAACTGTAGGTGTCAGTCATCAACCTCTGTTTTCTCCTTGACAGGGGAGTTAGCCCCTACCGTCTTCACCCGAATACAACGCCCGGTCATTATAGCTGTATTTGGCAGAACTTCCAATAAAATTAAAGATGAAATACAAATAGGAAAGACATAAATAATAAGAATAAAATTGACTCAAGACACAGTGAAAATGACCGGCGTTCTATTCGGGTGAAGACGGTAGCATTATCCATTAGGATTCGAACTTGTAATATGCTTATCAACAGCTACATGTGTCTACCATTCAGCCACAAGGCTAGATAAAATCCTCAGCCTCTGTTAAAACTCCTAAGTGCAATCTTTCCTTTTCAGTTCATTAAGAATACTAACAGGCGTAGCGCAGTTGGTACACGTAACGACCTGTTGAAATAAAGACCCAAGTTCAAATCCAGATACAATCAGACTGCCAGAATACGATGACTCTGAATTGCGTGGGGCCAGGTGGTTGAATGATGATATCTCAAGGTCGTCACCCTTTTAGAAAAGTGTGACCCGCCAAAACAAAGACTGAGAACACTGCTGATTTCTGGGATTTGCCGCTGGAATGTATGCCTTGCTGAGATTCCTGCATTCTGCTGTGACTTCTAAGTCTGTGTGTGTGCGTGCCTGCTGGTCTGCATGCCTGTCTGAGTGCTTGTCGGCCTGAGTGTGTGTGTCACCCGCAAGGGTACTTGTTGGTTTGGAGGCCCCGCAGGGCCGGTACTTACCCGTGGCCATGACTTTGAGGGTTGCAGCAGGAAAAACACTCAAGTAGCGGGGGTAGGCCCACGACACTTAGAGCAGCGGGAAAAACACTCAAGTAGCAGGTAGGCCGGTACCACTCAAGTAGTGGTAGAAATGTCGGGTACTCGAGGCCAAGCAGAAGAAGACAAAAAGTTGGCATTTTTAGAGGCCCAGTAGCGGTAGGCTAGAGGTAGGCCAGTATCAGTCCAAGTAGCCCAAATCTAGGGTCTGTACGGACGATATCAGAGCCTGCAATGATGTTTCCCTCCGAAAGGGAGGAGGTAACGGTTGCTGGGAGGCCGAGCGGCCTAGGAAGTCACCGCCCAAGAGGCAAGTAGGCCGCTATACCTTCCAGAGGAGCAAGTAGCTCCTCCTCATTTGCGGTGTGCAAGGATTGGCAACATACTGCTGGAGCCAAGCGCTGGACTGGAGCGCTGCCTGGAGGAAGGAGAGCAGCTGCGCGCTCAGCCTGGGTATGGTGAGCAGCCCAGCCTGAGGAGCAGGAAGAAGGGGGCGAAGGAGGCGAGTGGTGAGGTACCTATCTGGCTATGGTGGACACTGTCTTCATCACCTTGATAGGCACTGCATCTGGAAGGCCCCAGTTGGGGTAGTGCCGCACCAAGGAAGCTCGAGGCAGAGTCAGGCATGGCGACCTGATGAGCAGCGACATAGCTGCTTTGTGTTGTCCTTTGCACAAGAGGGCAGAGCCCTCGGTAGCCCGCCATAGCCTTGGCATGTGAGAGGAGGGAAGCAATGGCTATGGTAGACCTGTTGTTAAGCTAGCAGTAAAAGGGAACTTCGGATATTGATTCTGGTTCATCCACTCATTGATTATTCGGAAGAAGAATAAGATTGGCGAAGTCAAGGAGGAGGAGGAAGATGGAGAGAGAAGGGGGATTTGTCATTGGTCTTGTTGGTGTACATCCTCTGCTTCTTCTTCTTCTTCTTCTTCTTCTTCTTCTTCTTCTTCTTCTTCTTCTTCTTCTTCTTCTTCTTCTTTCTCTCTTCTTTGGTCTCCATCTCTTTGCAAGTGCTTTCATTTCTTTTGCAATTGGGTGGCATTGTCTTTCCTTGTGAATTTGCACTTTGGAAATAACCAGGATCGTAACATTTGGTATCGGAGCGGACTTACTAGCTGGTGAGAGGTGTTGAACTACCCTAACCCTGATTCCGGATTAGGTTAGGGCTAACCTAATCTCGGATTAGGGTTGGAAGTTAGGGTTAAGAGGGGCAGCGAGGTATGTGGATGCTGCCCCCACCTCGTTAGGTCATGTCGGGTCGACATCAGGCCTGACCAGGTTGCTTGAGTGATTGTATGGGATGGCGAGGCACAAAGGAGGCTGATTGAAGTGAGCGAGAGGGAGTAGAGAGTGAGAGGTACTCGCACCTGGAATCTGGACTTCAAGAAGACATTGAGTGACTTTTGGCTTCCCCTCAAGAGGGAGACTTGACCGGAGACTGCCATCTCTGCATTGAAGAGCTGCAAGTTGTTACCTTGGTCTTCAACATTGACGGAGGATCCGGCATTGTAACATGGATGTAGGAGAGCCCTCTTAGTCATGCTAGGACACTTCGTGTAGTGGTAGCTAGGGGTCAGGCGGACCTATGAGAGAGGGGGGTGAGTAGTTATTTCGTCTTTGGAGGCCAGGCCTCACAGGTTGCCATGCGAAGCCCACGGGAGGTTGCTTGGCGCTTCGTGGCCTGTTGCGGTGTGCTGGGCTCTTTTCCTCTTCTCGACGGTCTTGGTTGTGTGTGAGAGCATGTGGATTGCTTTCTCACCTGATGGATGGATGGATGATGTATCTTGTTCTCAATGACATATCTTTCTAGTAGTTCTACAGTGCATTACATTCTTGCTGAAAGTTGTCGTTTCCTTTTCAGTATGGTAGAGGCAGTTTGGGACCGTCTTGGGACACCCTTCTGATTGGTCCTGGTCCACGACCTACTTGGGACCCTTCCGGACTCAGTGGGACCAGGCCCAATGGGACAGGACCCTTCGGCCCCAAATCTGTTGCCGTCAGTTGCATTACTTTGTTGTGCTGAAACTGGGGGACACACACCGTCACACGGCTAGTAGGGACATTCCTTTCAAGGGGATCTTGACTGGTCTTACTGCATGTTCTCACGCACTGCGTCTGGCTCGGCGACCGCATGCACCCCTCGAAATCTCCATTGCTTCAGTTAGTTGTTCTTTCGTCTGACTTATTCGCGGTACATGTTCCATGTTGGGTTAGACAAGAGGGGATCTCCAATCTTATCTGACCGGACCCATTTGTTGAGTCAGACCTCTCTTTGATTTTTTTAATTATTTATTTTATTCTGCTGCGTGGATGTCGCCCTCTAGTCCAAATGAATTGCCACTCCGGCTAGGAGTTCTACCTTCTCTTTTGTGATTTATTTTTATCTTCTCATCTGAGCTATCTATGTCCAATATTGAGACGCCTGCGCAGAAAGCGGAAAGAGAGAGAAGGGAGAGAGAAGGTGTTCTTTTTGAAAGTGTGAGGAAGGGGAAGAGGAGTGTTCGTCCAAACGTGAGTACCGAGCAGACCCCTCTTGAGAGATCTATTGACACCCCATCCTCCAGCATGGCAGACATCTCATTTGTCCAATGGCAGGCCGTGCTGGACGCAGCGGATGAGAGCGAGAAACCGTTCTTTCAGAAACTTTATGAGGATGCAGTACAAAGAGAGAGGGAGGCAGAGGCAGCAGCTAAAGCAACAAGTATTGTTGCCCAAGTGGCTCTCCTCGCTGTTCCGGAGATCAATGATGCCCGGTTCAAAGAGAAGCTAGCTGCTGCTGTAGCAGCCTTGGTTCAACAGCGGACCTTGGAAGATCTTTAGTCACGCGTGACAGTTCTAGAGCTGCGGAACCAAGGGCTACAGCTTGAGATTGTAGGCCTCAAACAAGCCCAACTGACTATCCCTTGTCCTCCTATCCTCGTCCAGCTGCTGTCCCAGTCTTTCCCCCTAACACAGACCTCATGCAGAGATCAAGTGGAACTGTGACGAGCTCATTAACCAGTGCCAGCTATTCAAGCGACAGTGCCGGCAGTTCTGCACTTTGGCCCTTACGCCTTATGGCTCCTTGTTATTCTGGGTTGCACCAGTCTGGTTCCTTTTCCACTGGCAAGCCAAAACAAGTGCCTTTTTCACAAATATACTCTCTCCTTAGTAGTGAGTCTTACCCATAAGAAGGGAGCGGGGCAGATGTCCTCTCCTGTGTCTGGCCGTGGAAATCACATGTTTTTAGCTTCTTCCTCACCTCGATCTTTGACTGGAAGGCGTCGGACTGCTTGATTTTCCACCGCAAAGTCAAGCCATCTCCTTTCCTCCTTACTCTCCTGCACCTTTCAGTTGAAACGTCCCGGCCGTATCTGCATTTACTCCACCCCAGTAATCCACCTGGAAATTGTATCAGAAACATGGTGGCCCTTGGGGGCAGGGCCCCATTGTAGGTAAGGATCATGTGCTGGATTGGGAGCTAGTGTGCAAGCAACACCCTGTCTAGAGTGGTGATTTATGTGTGTACCAGTGAGTACATGCGCTGCAGTCATGCAGGGGGTGGGATGCATATCTAGTTCAACATTGTTCAATTCTTGTGCACAGGTCATGACTGCGGTTTGTCCACAGCCAGTGGCCAAAAAGTATTGATCCCGAGTATTCACTAGTTTTTCTTTCTTTTTTTTTCTAATGAAAGGGTGACAGTCTTGAGATACCATTGTCGAACTGACCGTCCCCTTCCTTTGATTTCGCTCATTTAGTTGCACCTGGATTCGAACTCTGGTGGCTATTTCAACAGTTCATGGGCGTACCGACTGAGCTAGGGCCGTCGGTGAGTTTTCTTTCTTTCTTCATAACCGCCAGTTCCTTTCCCAGAAGGCCATATTTCGTTTGCTACCCCTTTTCCCCCTTTCAACGCTCTCCACCAAGCCATCCCACCAAGAGCATGGCCACTTACATGTAAGCACAAGCCCAACGCAAGGGCATCAGCTAGGACGTACCCAAGCAAGGCACTTTTCTGGATGTCTCTGGACAGTTTGAAGGCCAGATGCTGTCACCAAAGCCGCAGCGTAAGCATGCCCTTCGGCATCGATCTCCCGATATCTCTTCAGAACTTGAGAAAAAATGCATCGGTTGCTTCTATATATCCTTGTCGATCGCTGGAACTTGAATCTTCTACTAACATGGTTCTCTCGTTGCACTGGAGGCTAAATTCTACATCACCTCCTCCCTCACATTCAAGGTTTATGTTTCCTTTTCGCTGTTCTTTTCCATTCTCCCTGATTTCTTCTCTTGTCTTTCTTCGCCCTTCTCGTGGAGCTGGGTTGTAATAGATAAGGAATGTTTTCTAACATTTCGGAACTGACCTACGGATGCTTCTTTTCTTTTCAAAAGGAGGTAGCACCTAACATCATTGTATTGATCAGAGTTTATCAGGAATTGAACTCTTGATCTGTTTTAGTAATGGTCACGTGTGTGTACCATGTAGCCACCTGGGGGCCAGGTTGTTTCTCAAGTTTACACATGTACGGTTTCTCCCGATTGTACACATGTATTGTTGCTTCGATTGTACACAGCTACGGTTGTTAATATGGTAGCTACCGCTTGTGCAGAGACCGGACAGCCCTGCTGCTCCTGATGCCTCTGCTTCCTTCTCTTTGTTTCTCTCCGTTGTCTTAGTATCAGCTGGTAAAAACTCGATATTCTGAACGTGGAGAGGACATCACATCACAGGTTGATACCGAGCTCAGCTTACATGCACGGTGAGGACGGGGAGGCCAGAGGGAGGGGAGTAAGGAACGACATGTATCGCTCTCTTCCTGAGTGAATTTGTTTTAGAGAGAAATTAAATGCAGACAAGTGGACCAGCGGCAGCGACGAGGAAGGGGGGGACGGGGAGAAGGGGAGAGGGCAAGGAGACGGCGGTGGAGGAGAGGGAGAGGAGTGTGTGTGTGTGTGTGTATGTGTGTGTGTGTGTGTGAGAGAGAGAGAGAGAGAGTGTGCATCCCCGTCCACTCCTCCCCCGCCCCACCCCTCTCCTCCGTTCCCTCCATCCGCTTTTCATACCCGCCTCCCACGCATTCATTAACTCCCCCTCCCTGTTTCCCCCAGTTCCTTCTCCTGCTCCTCCTCCTGCTCCTCCGCCTGCTCCTCCGCCTGCTCCTCCTCTTCCTCCTCCTCCCTCTCCTCCTCCCGCTCCTTCTCCCACTCCTTCTCCCGCACCTCCTCCTGCTCCTCGTCCGCTCTTCCTCCTCCTCCCGCTCCTCCTCCCGGGCCTCCTCCCGCTCCTTCTCCCGCTGCTTCTCCGGCTGCCTTTTCCTTTTTTCTTCCCCAATCAATCAATCCATCAATCAAGCAATAGATTGGTTGATTGATTAATTGAAAAACAACCAAAAATAAGGAGAACGGGGCGACCTTTTTTGTTCTGCTTTCGATCAATCAATCAATCAATCAATCAATCAATCAGTCAGTCAATCAATCAATCAATCAATCAATCAGTCAATCAATCAATCAACCCACTCCCGTGCATCCCGTCAACCCTCCACCCACCCGATTTTTCCAAACAGAAAACAAAAAATCAGTCAATCAATCAATCAATTGATCAATCGAATTTAGTGATTGATTTATTGATCGACTGTGTGTGTGTGTGTGAGAGAGAGGGAGCGAGAGACAGAGAGTAGGTCCCCGTCCACCCCTCCCCCCCGCACCCCTTCCATCCCTTCCCTCCTTCCGCTTTCCCTACCCGCCTCCCGCGTGTTCGCTAACCCCCTCCCTGTTTCCCCTCCCGCTCCTCCTCCCGCTCCTCCTCCCGTGCCTCCTCCGCCCCTTCCCGTTTTCCCTCTCCCGCTCCTAATGCCCTCCCCATTTCCCCTGCCGCTCTTCCTCCCGCTCCACCTCCCGCTCCTTCTCCCGCTCTTCCTCCCATGCCTCCTCCGCCTCTTCCTGTTTCCCCTTCCACTCCTTCTCCCGCTCCTCCTCCCGCTCCTCCTACCGCTCCTCCTCCTCCTCCCGCTCCTTCTCCTGCTTCTTCCCCTGCGCCTCCTCCGCACCTTCCCGTTTCCCCTCCCGCCCCTTCTCCCACTCCTGCTCCCGCTCCTCCTTCCACTCCACCTCTCGCTCCTCCTCCTTCTCCCGCTCCTTCTCCCACCCCTCGTGCTCCTTCTCCCGCTGCTCCCTCCGCACCTCCTCCGCCCCTTCCCATTTCCCCTCCCGCTCCCTCTCCCGCTCCTCCTCGCATTCGTTAACCCCCTCCCCATTTGCCCTCCCACACTTCCTCCCGCTCCTCCTCCCGCTCCTCCTCCCGCTCCTCCTCCCGCTCCTCCTCCCGCACCTCCTCCGCCCCTTCCCGTTTCCCCTCGCGCTCCTCCTCCCGCTCCTAAGCCCCTCCCCGTTTCCCTGTCGCTCCTCCTCCTGCTCCTCCCCCCGCTCCTCCTCCCGCTCCTCCTGCGCCTCCTCCGCCCCTTCCCGTTTCCCCTCCCGCTCCTTCTCCCGCTCCTCCCGCTCCTCCTCCCACTCCTCCTGCTCCTTCTCCTTCTCCTGCTCCTCCTCCCACTCCTCCTCCTGCTCTTTCTCCCGCAGCTCCCACTCCTCCTCCCACTCCTCCTCCGCCAACCAACGTGACAGAGATCCCGCTCCTTCTCCCGCTCCTAACCCCCTCCCCGTTTCCCCTGCCGCTCTTCCTCCCGCTCCTTCTCCCGCTCCTCCTCCCGCTCCTCCTCCCGCGCCTCCTCCGCCCCTTCCCGTTTCCCCTCCCGCTCCTCCTCCCACTCCTCCCGCTCCTCCTCCGCCAAACAACATGACAAAGATCCCGCCATGGCCATCTCCTACGAAAAAAAAAGGAAAAAAGGTCCACCACGTGGCTAGCCACAGAGAGAGAGAGAGACTGACCTCCCACTGCTCCACCACAACTTTGTCCTCCTCCCGCTCCCGCTCCTTCTCCCGCTCCTCCTCCCGCTCCTCCTCCCTCTCCTTCTCCCGCTCCTCCTCCTGCTCCTCCCGCTCCTCCTGCTCCTCCCGCTCCTCCTGCTCCTCCTGCTCCTTCTCCCATTGCTTCTCCTCTCTCTCTCTCTCTCTCTCTCTCTCTCTCTCTCTCTCTCTCTCTCTCTCTCTCTCTCTCTCTCTCTCTCCTTTNCTCTCTCTCTCTCTCTCTCTCTCTCTCTCTCTCTCTCAATCAATCAATCACCCCGTGTCTCGTGGTCCTCCCTTGGAACGCAACCCAATAGCATACTCCTGCCTCCATCGCCGACGATCAACAGCACACACACACGCCTCACGAAGACCACCACGCTGAGAAGAAGGACACAGCTCACTGTGATAAAGCAGGCCAACTACTGCCTCCATCGCCGACAATCAACAGCACACACACGCGGCTTGCGAAGACCACCACGCCGAGAAGAAGGGCACAGCTTGCTGTGATGAGGCAGGCCAACCCCGCTGCTTCCCCACCCCTGCCCCTGCCCCTGCCCCTGCCCTCGCCGTTTTCTGCCGTGCCCATTTCTTCATCCGCCCCTGGGCCTCTCGTTTCAGGCCCGACTTTTGCTTCCCCCCGCCGCCTCTCCGGACCGTGCCCCCACCCCTACTCTTTTCTGCCACACCCTGCCCCGGCCAAGTTTTGGTTCGGCCTGCCCAGTGGGCCCGACGGTTCGGGCCCGGTCTGTTCCCAACACAGGAATCGGGGTCTCGCGTGGGACGGTCACGCGAGACCCGCTCCTTGCTTTAAGAGTACTGGAGAAATGGAGGAAATGTCTGTCCTGTATGATCATGTGATTGACGGCACGCTGCATGTGGAGCACTATAATGTGATGTGGAGCACACACATGGTAGGTACGCTGAATGATGTGACGGCAGGAGTCGAACTGTGTGATTATTACCAGTTCGTACCCATATGCAGGCAAACATAGCGTTTACTTCGCTCTCTAAACCCACTTCGCCTTGACTTAGCATGCTTTGCCGCCCTCTTTATTCGAGAGACAACAACCTTGTATTAAAAGTGCGTTTCTGTCATTTACTGTTTACCCCTCTGAAGAGTTGAAGAAGAGGCTTCCAAAAGAAGGGGAAAAACAACAAACAACGGGGGAGGCAGAGGGACGAGAGGAAACTGGTCGAGATAGTGAACCACAAGTGGAGATGGAGAAGGGGAAGCAAACGACGCTTTCAAATTGGGATTTTGATGGCCGGCAGACGGGAAGGATAAGGGGCACAGGGGCGAGATAGGTGACATTCCCTCCAAGCCACACGTCGCCAAAGATTTGTCGAGCTTCTTTCCCCATGCAGAAGGAATGCGCATATCATACACACATGGAAGGAGCATCTAAGTCCAGTGGTGCAATGCCGCCCGTGTGTTGAATTTGGTTGGTGAAAGAAGTTAGCCAGCCAAAGTAGACAGCTGCCCTGGGCATTCACACAGTTAATTACTTTTCTTCTTCTTATGGCAGGGAGAAAGTTGGGAGCGAAGAGGGACAATTTAAAAAGAAAGGCCCGTGGCTGCTGTGAGAGAAGACAGACGCGGATGCCAGCTCGGCGGTCTGTGAAAAGCCCCCGGCCTCACCAGTGGTGTGTGGTGGGATATAACCAATTGGTGGTCACATTATAGAGAACAAAAATTACGTAATTCCGTACGCACCAGTGGTTATTAGGAACTCCACACTCTGGTAATCCATGCGCTTCCTTTGCGCGTCCGTGTCATCATTGACCGACAGGCAGAGCGACACCGTCCCCGGCCGTGTGTGACGCAGCTTGAACGCAGACGGGCTGACTAACTCCTGATTGCGACTAAGCTTTGATGGTGGCATAACCTCCCCCTTGTCTGCTGCTCCCAGTTTGCCACCTTGTATGAACTGCCCAGGAACGATGCGATGGATGAGTGTTCCCGCGTACGTGGACCCTGCGCTCCCATTGCACATTGCCACGAAATTGGCCACCGATTGTGGCGCCTGTTTGCCGTACAAACCGATCACCACGCGGCCGAGTGGCAGCTCGTCCGGCTGATCACAGACTATTGAACGGTTGCCAAGTGTGCGACCAGATCGTGTGGCAGTCGGACACAGCCCGAAATCCATAAACACCCTGGATGTGATTGTTGAATCAACACCTGGAATGTTGCGCACCGACCGCGGCAGCCCAATGTCTTCTCTGTCTTCCTGCAAACTATTCGGGAGAGTTTCCCTAGAAGAGGAGGAAGATGATGAAGACGGCAATGGTGATGGAGGAGACTGTGATCGGGAGCCTTGCAATGCATCCTTCGCATGCGTCTCCTCCTCTGCGGTGATGGCCATCGCTCTCGGCATGACCGCCGTCGTCTTGTCGGCAGTAAATGAGGCAGGGGTGTCAGAGGCGGAAAACCCTGCGGAAGAGGCCTCGGTTCCTGCTGCAGCCGCTGATGCTGTCAGAGAAGGCGCTGCCGCCATCGCTGTAATTATTCCCACTAGCCCTGTCATGGTCATCGTCACCCTTCTACCCCACACAAGCTCTTTAGTTGCAACTGTTTCCTCGAATTCTGTGGCCTTGTAGCAATCTTCCAAGGTAGGCACCACCTTCTCCTCCTCCCTCCCCATTTCCTCCCCATCCCACCCGACTTCTTCGTTTACCAACGGCAAAGCATTATCAGTGGCGCACGCCACCACTGGCGATAAATTAAATGCCACGTCATTTCTTCTTATCCTCCATTGCGGCCTGAATTCCTCCGTCAAGCAATCCATTGGCAGCACATCTTTGCTTAATATCCACTTTCCCATCCGGCGACTGCTGCTATTCAAGCCCCATGTGGCATATTGAGGCCTTCCGGCCATTCTTCCATCGAAGAAGTGAGGACATGTCCGTTCGCCATGATGTTTTGCCCGGCCTTTGGACGTGGTAGCTGATGACCCCAAGAGCATGAACGTCCGTCCTGCGTGTGTAATTGCAGCTCCCTGCCCGGCTGCAATGCAAGGCATGCCAACCGTGCAAAGAGGAGGAAGAGGAGAGGGGGAGGGATAACACGTGTCCCAACCCCTTTGCAAAACTGTGCCACGTGGGCCTGGCACATAGGCTGGAAACGTGGCCACAGTCCCGCAGCGGCTTGCGCCTTGGCACGTGGTCAGACGGTCCATTGCGCGAGAGGAGACGACCACCAAACCGTGTTTGCTCGTTATTGCCACGGGCTCGAGGTAATTGTGAACATCCCATGGGTGCCCCTGGTGACCTGACCATGAGACAACATTGGCACAGTGATTGCTTGCAGGGGCAATCGCACTGAAAGTGATGGTGGACCCACGGCTGATATCCACCATAGTTGTCAGCCTGACAGAAATCGAAAGCATACTGGACGAACCAGATCAACACGGCTGCATCTGCTTCGTATCATAATGCAACCATTATTGATAATAACAGCTTGTTAATTACTGTAATTAGCCGTGAGGAAACATATCCAGTTCTCAGTCCGTCACTCGCATAGCTGTCACAAAACACCAGCCTTCGAGCGGAGAGCAACCGAAAGAAAGCAACAAGGAATGTAATAAAACACACATGAACAAATGATAACAAACAGGACAGGCTGCAATAAGAAACTGAGAGAAACGTGGTTCCAGGACTACCTGCAACGCGACTCCATCGGACAGTATCCACGCTTTCATTCAGTAGGAGTTGACCCCCCCCCCCCCCTTCCCCTCCCTCCCTTTTTAACATGATTATAGAGTGACGATTAAGAAGAACGAATGTCCGACTCACCGACTCACTTGCACAGTGCTCTTTTTCTGTTTTCAGCCAAAGAGAGCTATTTCAGCAGAAATCTGCTGCGAGACTTCGTGGTGCGATGCGGTCAAGGTCCAACCTGTAGATCAATCAGTTTGTCCGACGGAGCCTGATGACAGATTTTGCGACAAAACAGGGAGCCTGCGTTTGACTTTCGCTAACGAAACACTGACTTCACCACGTTCCCGCTCACCTGTACGAATCACGGCTGGTTCATCATGACAAGTCCTCATTGTATACTTGGCCGCCAAATTATGGCAGTCATCAAGTCCGACATAGACAGTTTCCCTCTGCTTTCCTCGCCGGGTGTGGCATACTGCATAGCCACACGGGCCCTGCAGGGCCCGTCCCGCACTTTCAGCCTAAAAGCCTAAAACTTAGGGCTTACAGGCCCCGGTCGTTTCAGCCTGAAAGCTGAAAAACGAGGGCCTGCAGGCCCTACTCCGTTTTCAGCCTATTTCTGGGCCTTTCAGGCCCAGAGGCTTTTCAGCCTGAAACGGAGGGCCATTTTCAGGCCCTCATTGTGTTCGACCTACCTAAGACTCAGGCACAGAAACAGGGTTTCGGGAACAGGCCAGAAATAGCCTGTTCCCCACGCCAGCTCAAGCAGGAGCTGCAGCTGCAGCCCCTGCCTTCCTTCGGCATTGGCAAGAGCAGCCTCCTGGACTGCTCACACGAGTCAGGAGGCACACCCGGTAGTACATAGGAGTTTCCCATGCACTTCCCAGGGAGGTAGTGTCAGTAGGCACGAGTAGTCTTTCAGGATTCAGTCGCAGCACTCAGGAGGAGCGCTGCAGTAGTCTTCAGCGCTCCGCAGTAGTATTAGCGCTAGTAGTAGTCTTCGGCGCTGGGCACCCATAGACATAGCTGTAGTCTTCAGCGCTGGGCGCTATTAGGTGGTAGATCGTAGAGTTGGGAGAGATGGCTGGCGGAGGCCAGCGGTACTTACCTGTGGCACCATAGCTCCAGCTCCATCTTTGAGGTACCTGCATCAAGGCGCCAACTTCACAGGTTAGTACTGGACACAGAGAGAGAGAGAGAGAGTTCTTCTTCTTCCTCTTCTAAGTCCACCATCTCTTCTCACCCTCTCGCCACCTGACTTCTCAGACTACGACAGAGAGAGAMAGAGTTGTGACTTGAGACTYGACGACATTGGATCCAGACTKGRCATTTGGGATTCAGACATTTCGACGAGGGACTATTTGGGCCTGTGCCGAGACTTGGTGTTGACGACATTCCCATCTTCCCCTCCTCTTCGTCTAACCCCTCCTTCTTCGTCTGTGTATGGTTGGGGCTGGCGCAGTCTTCCTGTGTGAAGCGCCAGACCCCCTTCACACCAGATAACGATGATGATGATGTGTGTTCTTACAGTATGCAACAGTTTGGTATCGGAGCGGACCTCTCATTCAGAGGACCCGCTCAATCAAGTAGCCAGCTTGCTGATCTATTGATCACTCATTAGTAACGCAAGTAGGACTTCGTCAAATCTCTGGAAAAAAAAAAATTATCGCAACAACTATCTAAAAATTTCTGATATTCGCATTTCGTTTTACCTGAAAATTTCTGATATTAGTAGTTCGTTTTTACGTAACAAATATCTGAAAATTTCTGATAAATCGCATTTCGTTTTGTCTGAAAATTCCCGATAGTAGCTTTTCGTTTCTCTGCTATTTCGCATAAACTTTGCGGAACCTAGCCTAGATCTCGTTCATAGTACTCTTCTGATATGTCCTACTCATAATAGATCGACAGATATACAAAAAAAAAAAAAAAAGGGAAGTAGTCCTCTTTCATTTTTTTTATTTTATTTTTATCTGTTGATTAGGGCCGGAGGAAAGTATTGTTGGGTTGGTTTCCTACCTGCGTTTTCCCTCCCACCCACCCTTTGCATGCATTCCCGGGTTGGTACAGTGACACGTCAGCTACAGTGACACGTCAGCAGTGCCACGTCAGACACAGTGACACGTCAGCAGGCCACATCAACAGTGACACGTCAGCTACAGTGACACGTCAGCAGTGACACGTCAGACACAGTGACACGTCAGCAGGCCACATCAGCAGTGCCACGTCAGGCACAGTGCCACGTAAGCAGTGCCACGTCAGACACAGTGCCACGTAAGCAGTGCCACATCAGCAGTGCCACGTCAGACACAGTGCCACGTCAGCAACATGACGGGCCTGCCAGGCCAATCGGCCAATGAGCCCATTGCCGACTACAAAAAGCGCTTCCAGGCTCAGCTCGCTTTAATCGAGGCTGAGGAACAACGCCAGCTGGCAGCCAAGGCTGCCTAGCTACAGGCTGAAGAAGCGGCAACAGCAGAGAAGCTGCGGCTACAGGCCGACGCAGACGCAGATGCCCAGGCTCGCCGCAAGGAAGCCCAGGATCTGCTGCAGCGGCATGAAGCCAACAGCATCGACAGACTCAAGTTCTGGCACTTTGAACCGAACGGCGACGAGGCAACACCGGAAGAGCAGCATAAGGAGTTCCTCTCCAAACTCATGACACGGTTGTTGTGTGCTTGCAACTACCAACGGTCCGAGTTAGAGAAACAGAACCAGGAACTGCAGCAACAGTACCAGGATCTGAAGACACAGCACCAGGAGTTGGCGAACCTCCGCTGGATGGTGCAGAGCCCGTGTACTGGACCTGGAACAGGCTGTACCAGGACCAGATGCTGGTGCCTCCAGCAGTGCACCCTCTAGCCGCCAACTGGAGGAACGCGTTGACCACGTACTGGCAATGCTCGGCGACATCAGCACCTTCGCTGCGCCGGCCACCATCAGCAGTCAGCTGGAGGCATTGAAGACCGAGGTCCAGCAACTGCAGTCGACGAACACGGATGGCAATCCAAAGCAATACAAGATGCCAACTTTCCAACTGGAAAAGTTCGACGACTACACACATCAGCGAAGCATTCACAACACAACTTCGGATTCTGCCTGTCGCCAAGCACGCGTACATCGGCGCCCTGTTCATGAACTCAAAGGGCGGATGCCAGAACTGGTTGACTCACCTGGCAGCCACCCACGGCGTCGACGTCGCGGATCTGAAGGACAAGATCACATGGGAAGAGTTGACACGGTTGTGGAAGAAGCGGTTCATCGTCGACGACGTACCAGCACTAGCCATCAACCGTCTCTTCGCCATGTCTCAGGGCAACACAGCAACACGTGACTGGCTCACGGAATGGCAGAAGATCGCGGCAGTGCCCGATCTGGACTTACCATTCATGCATCTACGCCGTGAGTTCTATAACAGGTCATGCGCTGCGCTGAGCCAGGCACTTGGTGATCGCGAGCAGTATGCATCTTTCGCCGAAATCATCGACAAGGCAAGAGAGATCATCAAGACCAACAGGGCGGCTGCACACGAGAAGTCCACGTGGCAGCCAACCTATGTGGAGAAGGTGAGAACTGGTCCGCGACAGCAGCAGTTCGCTGCAGTCCAATCGGACAGTGGAGAAGACCCAGCAGCCACTCCAGCATCATGTGAGGGAGATCAGGTGGCTGCTGTCCAGCCGCGAAGCAACAAGCCCCGAGTGAACGGGAAGGCGAAACCAGCATCGCAGGCCGGAAATGGACAGCCAGCACCACCATGGGTCAAGTTCGGCTTGACCGAGGCCGAGTACAAGTACCACAACCGTTATGGCTGATGTTACTGGTGCAACAGCACCAAGCACAAGACCTCCATTTGCCAGGATCAGGCCAAGGAGGTTGTGCAGCCTCGTCTTAACTCGGGAAACTGAGTTGCGCAGGAGGTGAGGCGACTCCACCTCTCACTCCGCCAGATTCGGCCGCCTTGCTAGCGGCCTCCTACACATCTGGGGAGGATGCGCATGTCGCAAGTCCTCGGTACACTTACGAGGATTATGTTGTCCACTTGGTCCCACCGCTGGACCAACCGCTCCACGTGCAACACTCTACCGCATGCACGGTTTCATCACCATCGGCAACCGATTCGGCAGCTTTGCCGTCATCTACCGCTGGGGATTCAACGTTATGGTCAAGTCTTGAAGAACCCGACCCGTTGACTTTTGAGGACTTCCAATGGATGCCCCTACCCCGGTCGATTGCCGAAACCGCATTGCAACGTGCTCAAAGCACAATTGCGGGATTACTTGCACACTGCAGTACCGACTCCGCTGATGGACGCCGGAGTAGAGGTTGTCGACCTTCGCGCCTACATTGAGAAGATCGACCGCAAGTTCAAGACGCAACGGTACGACGACATCGACGCACCATTGCTATATGTACGCATTCAGATCGGGGAGGCGACCTGCAGCGCTTTGATCGATTCCGGAGCATCTCGCAACTACATGAGTCAGGACTTCATGGTACGTGCCGGCCTTGGCCCACGAGTCCGAAGGAAGTCCCAACCCACGCAAGTCACGTTGGCGGACGGTCACACGCACAAGTCAATCGACCGGTGCATTGACGGCGTCCCAATGTACTTTGCCCCTCACGCAAGTGAGGCGGTGTCCTTTGACATCCTGGACACCAAAGTTGACATGATCTTGGGCATGTCATAGCCGCGAAGCGAGGACCACCCGGTGAACTTCTACCGCCGCACCGTTCACATTCGTGATCGGAACGGAGTACTAGTCCCATGCACGGTAGCCCCTCCTCACCCTTCAGTCAACTGTCACATGGTATCCGCCGCAAGCATGCGAGCTTCAATCATCAGAGACGACATCGAGGAGATGGAGGTGTGTTTTCTCCACACCCTCCCGCCCCAAGACGCGTCATCGACGGACTCATCTTCGGATCCACGCATAACCGAACTTCTCGACGCCTACAGTGACGTGTTCGAAGGCCCGCACGGAGTAGTACCGGTGTCAGGCGGCCACGAGCAGTGCGCCGCCTGAAATCTGCGATTTCAGGACTTAGGCTCGGGGACAAGTCCGTGTTTTGACGGTACTCAAGTATGACCAGGCAGCAAAAATTAGGGGAACTCAGGGCACCCCTGATTTTGGGCGAACTGAACCTTTCGAGTAACCCCCAAAGATGGCGAAGTGGGTAGCCACTCCCGGCACATCTAGGGACCGTCATTCCCACACGTCCCGAGGTTAGACCTGGGATGGCCGGCTGTGGGGAGGCATAGCGCGTGTTGACCCCGCGGCAATGCTTTTGCAGCATATGATCGGGTTGGAGTAGCGCCTCAAATTTTGTCAATTTTTGGTACCTAATTTAAATATGGGAGAAAAGATTGGGAACAGTAGGAGGGAAGAGAAAAACGTAATATTCCTTAATTCCCCTATTTTTTCGCAGCATATAAATTTTCGGGAAATACCTCGTTATTTTACGTTTCCGGCAATGAAATATAACAACCAGAGAAAAGGATTAAGAATGGTAAAGGAGAG